CGCAGCCCCGGGGCTGAGGCTGGGTCCCGCAGCCCCCGGGGCTCTGGCTGGGTCCCGCAGCCCCCGGGCTGAGGCTGGGTCCCACAGCCCCGGGGCTCTGGCTGGGTCCCGCAGCCCCCGGGCTGAGGCTGGGTCCCGCAGCCCCGGGGCTCTGGCTGGGTCCCGCAGCCCCCGGGGTTGTGGGTGGGTCCCGCAGCCCCCGGGGCTCTGGCTGGGTCCCGCAGCCCCCGGGCTGAGGCTGGGTCCCGCAGCCCCGGGGCTCTGGCTGGGTCCCGCAGCCCCGGGGCTCTGCCTGGTTCCCGCAGCCCCCGGGCTGAGGCTGGGTCCCGCAGCCCCCGGGACACGGCTGAGCTGTGCTGAAAGCCCCTGGGCAGCCCCCATCGCCCGCCCACCGGCGACCCTGCGAGCTGCATGAGCTTGATGCACAGGGGTGGCGGCTGCTGCTGCTGCTGCATCAAACCCTTCCCTCCAGATCCCCAACACTCATCCCTGGGACACCAGCCTGAGCCTGAGACACAGCAGCAGCTGCTGGTATTGACTCAAAAGCATTTTAGAAAAGTATTCCTAACACCTATCCTACTCTCCCCATCCACTTAAATAGGTGGAAAGGACCCATAAGCCTTCATGTTATCATTTTTGAAATATACTAACCATACAAAATGAGAAAATGTATAATATAATTTGATACATACATCATGTCCTCCTACTCTTTAAAGCAATTTATATACTATAAACACAGAAGACATCCACTAGATAATGTATTAATGTAAGAATAGCTATAAAGGTATATATAAAATATGCATATGAATAAATAGTTTGTGGAAGAAAAATATATAAAATAAATAATAAAATTATAATAAATATGTAAGTAATAATATATAATTTTCTTTATATTGTCTGTATATATAAATAGAAAATGTGCTGCTTTCCAATAATGGAAAACCTCTTTTGCAGTACCTGAAGAGGACACATACTGTTCCTAGCAGTGTAACATTTATTGCATTAAAATAAAGGAAATCATAGCAACTTCAACAAGATTAAAACCAGCTCTGAGGCCTGTTTATTCAGCTGGTGGCCAGGGGAACATCCTTTCTTCACTGCACTGAGGGAAGGTGGGCAGACCCCTGTGTCCCTGTAGGTAACACCATGGTTCACTAACACCTTTAATTCTTCCTTGTCTCATTGCCCACTTTGACACTGGTCAAGCATCCCAGACACTCACACAAAAGGCTTTTTGGGAGTGGTTACAGTGTAGTTACAAACTAAGAGCAATTTCTACTTTCTACCTTCTCCACTTCTACCAAATATTCAGAGATTTTTCTTTTTCTTTCCATGACCCCAGATTTAATTTTTTTTTAGAAGAAAACACAGTGTCAATTTTATCAAATCTTCTGAAAAGAAAATCACTTCCACATTATACAAGTTTCATCAAGGACTTGAGCCTTGATGCTAATTCAGTATAATTTTAGTAAATAGTGGGCTTTTCTTTGAGCTTTGCTGGGAAGTAGTTTCTTGTACAGTTGCCAAATACAATTGTGGTGGGTTTGGTCTAGGGTTTATTGCAGGGCACTGAATCCTGTTATCATCTCTCTTTTTGAGGACAGTAGAAATGCTCTGATTGCAGACAGACAAAAATTTTAGAACTTACAAGGAGTCAATTAATAGTAAATTGAAAACTATTTTTTTTCCTCTTAATTTGATCACAAATACAAAAAAACCCCTATATGATAAATTCATTGTTCTGAACTGCCATTATGGTTTGTTATACATATGACTAATGGGTTTACTCTAACCTGAACAAGGCACTTCTTATTTTCCAAACCAGGCAAACTGAGTTTTTATCTTCTATTAGCATAAGCTGCTTTATTAACAGAAAGTAATCTTCCAAATAGTTTGAAGCCAATATGATAATTATAACATAATGAATTACAATTGCTTGTTTTCTTAAGATGAAAGAAAATAATATGTCTCACAAGTGTCTCTAATTTTCAAAACTTTATATAGACATCTGTTGGCTGAACTCTCACTGTAAATCTATAACATAGACAACTATTTCCTCACTGTCATGCTGGAAATGAAATATACCTTTTGGCCATGATTTGTTTTTCTCACTTATCCCCTGTCCTGGTAGCAAGCACTGAGTTTTATTTTCTGATAGGCCAGATTTTTTTCTAGTTTTGCATGTAAAAATTTCCAATAAGCCATCTTGGAGAGGATGATAGCCTAAATTCCCACTACTTTCTTGTGGTCGAGGTGTCTGTTAAAGCATTATTTTGTTGCTCATCAGAGGGTCTGATGTAGCTGCAGTGTGACTGGAAGGGACCTTCTTCTGATGTAGCCGTAAAATATCCCCAGACTCTTTCACCATGTAACTGTGGAATTATGCACCCTGCAACAATCTCAGAAAGAATGGAAGCAGAAAATACTGCAGCTGCCACTGAGAGGTAAAATTTAAATTCAGTTCAAGATTTGAATGTCAGAGATACCTGAACACCAGTGTTCTCAGCATTGCTTTTTCATTTTGAAAAATGTAACACAGAACTCACATTTTGAGAATTTAAGGATTTCTCATTTTAGGATTTAGGCTCTAACTTTTGGAGAGACCTTGGTTTGCAACATCCCAAATTATAAGGTGGCCAAACATAGCAATCTGAACTAACTCAACCCAACATATTCTCCCATTTCTTCACCTTACAAAACCATTCACAAAAAGTCCTGGTTTGCCTACAGGATTTGTTACTGCATTATAGCACTGTATATTAGACTGGGCTTCCAAGTTAGCCCTTGGAGAGATTGCATTTCTGCTTTGTAATGATTTTGCCATTGGAAA